GGGTCGGGTGCACCTTAGTCTTCAAGGTGACATCTTTGCTTTTTAACACTTTAAAGAGGTCTTTTGCAGAAGATTTGTCCAATGAAATGCATAGTTTGATTTCCTGACTGCTGGTTCCATTGAGTGTTGACTGTGGATCCAAGTACAATGAAATCTTTGATAACGTCAGTATTTTCTCTGTTTCTCATGTTGCTTGGTCCAGTTGTGAGGATTTTTGTTTTCTTTATGTTGAGGTAATCCATACTGAAGGCTGCAGTCTTTGATCTTCATCAGTAAGTGCTTCAAGCCCTCTTCACTTTCAGCAAGGAAGGTTGTGTCCTCTGCATAGCGCAGGTTGTTAATGAGTATTCCTGCAATCCTGATGCCCCATTCTTCTTTATATAGGATCAGTTAATGTGATTTTTCACCCTATTCTGTACATCAAATTACATATCAATTCTTTCTCAGGAAAACAAATTATTTGCAAGGTTCTATGCAAAATCCTTGTCTGAAAAAATTATGCTACTTTGCTGGTTAATGCAACTACCAAAATTCAGATGGACTTGTCCATTAACACACCTCAAACACGGTAACAGAGTATGAGCAAAGCTCACTACTGCTAATCATCTCTGCCCCCATCTGAAGCAGTAGCCCGATAATAGGTAAGAATGTTGTTTCTCCCAAAATATGGCTGCGATCAAATTTTTTACTTTTTCAAGGATTTGTCTCACAAGCAGAAGGCTGAAATCCCCATGGAAATATCTAAATATTATTTTTATTAGAAATAAAGGGGCAGCCCTTTTTGATTGATCTTTGGAGCTATTCGTATCATGAGATTTCTGCCTCCCCTCATTATCATAAAAGATCCCAAACGAAGAAGACATAATTTGACAGTGAGGAAGAAAGACAGGCAGAACAGAAATTCAGAACCCTAACAGACAGACTCTGTGGTAGTGACTTCTGGAGTTCATATTTATGGGAGTTTGCTACAGCTGTTGGGGTGTGCATTAAAAGTGTAGGTTGTCAGAGATAATATAATCTTATATATAAAAAATTCTAAGGAATCTACTAAAAAACTGTCAGAATAAACAAGTTCAACAAGGTTGTAGGAAGTATTATGATCAATGTACAAAAATCAATTGTATTTTTATACAATTGCAATAAACAGCCAAAAATGAAAATAAGAAAGCAGTTCCATTTGGAACAGCATCAAAAAGAGTAAAATACTTAGGAAAAAATTTAACAAAAAAACTTACACTCTGGAAACTACAAAATGTTGAAAGAAATTATAGACCTAAATAAAAGGGAAAATATGCCATGTTCATGGATTGGAAAACTTAGTTTGTTGAGATGGCAATACCCCCAACTCCAAACTGATACAAAGTCAATGCAATCCCTATCAGAATCCTAGCTAACTTCTTTTTTAGAAATTGACAAGTTGATTCTAAAATTCATATGGATTTGTAAGGGATCCAGCATAGCTACAATCTTGAAAAAGAGGAACAAAGTAGGACTCACAGGTCCCAATTTCAAAACTTACTGCAAAGCAAAGGTAATTAGGCAGTGTGATACCGGCATAAGAACAGACATATAGGTCAATGGAACAAAATTGACAGTTCAGAAATAAACCCATGTCTCTGTGGTCAATGATTTTGACAAGGACGATAAGGCCATGCACTGAAGGGGTGGGGAGAGGAAACAGCCTTTTCAACAAACAGTGCTGTGACAATCGGATAGTCACATACAAAAGAATGAAGTTTGACCCTTACCTCACATGATACACAAAAATTAACTCAAAATGGATTGAAGATTTAAGTGCTAAAGCTATAAAATTGTTAGAGGAGAACAAAGCTTCATAACCTTGAATTTGGCAACGGATTCATAGATATGACACCAAAAGCATGAATAACACAAGAAAAAAAAAACTGGACTTCATTAAAATTAAAACTTTGTGCATCAAAGGACATTATCAAGAAAGTGAAAAGAACCCACAGAATGGGAGAAAATATGCGCAGATGATGTATCTGACAAGGAAAGAAGTCTCACAACTCAATAACAAAAAGACAGCCTAATTTAAAAATTGGCAGAAGATAAAAAAAGTTGATATTTCTCCAGAGAAGATCTACAAATGACCAATAAACACATGAAAAGATGCTTGACATCATTAGTCGTTGTTGTTAGGTGCTGTCGAGTCAGTTCTGACTCACAGTGACCCTACAGGACAGAGGAGAGCTGCCCCATAGGGTTTCCAAGGAGCAGCTGGTGGACTTGAACTGCCAACCTTTTGCCTAGCAGCTAAGCTCTTAACAACTATGCCACCAGGGCTCCTCATTAGTCATTAGGGAAATGCAAATCAAAACCACAATGAGATACCACTTCACACCCACTAGGCTATAATCAGAAAGACTGATAATAATGTGTTGACATGGATGTGGAAAAACTCGAAACCTCATGTACTGCTGGTGGGAATGCAAAATGGAGCAGCCACTTGGGAAAACAGTATGGCAGTTCCTCAAAATGACTGGTCAGAGAGTTACTATATGACCTAGCAATTCCAGTCCTAAGTACACACCCAAGAGAAAGAAAACATATGTCCACACAAAAATCTGTACATGAATGTTTATAGTAGCATTATTCATAATAGCCAAAAAGTGTAAACCAACCAAATGCCCATCAACTGATGAATGGATAAACAAAATGTGGTATATCCAGAAAATAGAATATTATTTGGCTATACTAAAGGAAATGAAGTACTGATACACACTACAATATGGATGAACCTTGAAGACATTAAGCTTAATGAAGGATGCCAGAAACAAAAGACCACATATTATATGACTCCATTTATATGAAATGTCCAAAATAGGCAAATCTATAGACACCAAAAGTAGATTAGTGGTCGCTTAGGGCTGGGGAGAAAGAGGGAAACAGGAGTGTAGTAACGGAAGTGTAGTGGGGTTCTTTTTGAGGTGATAAAAATGTTCTAAAATTGACTGTGGTGATGATAACACATATCTCTGAATATACTAAAAATCACTGAATTGTACACTTCAAATAAGTGAATTATAAGGTATATGAATCAATGCCCATGGAGCAGCAGTCAAGAAATCAAACGACTCTGCATTGGGCAAATCTACTGCAAAAGACCTCTTTAAAGTGTTAGAAAGCAAAGATGTCACTTTGAGGACTAAGCTGCACCTGACCCAAGCCATGGTATTTTCGATTGCTTCATATGCATGCGAAAGCTGGCAATGAATAAGGAAGACTGAAAAAGAATGGGTGTCTTTGAATTATGGTGTTGGCAAAGAATACTGAATATACCATGGACTGCCAGAAGAAGGAACAAATCTTTCGTGGAAGAAGTATAGCCAGAATGCTTCCTAGAAGCAAGGATGACGAGACTACATCTCACATGCTTTGGACATGTTACCAGGTGGAACTAGTCCCTGGAGAAGGACATCATGCTTGGTAAAGTAAAGGGTCAGCAAAAAAGAGGAAGACCCTCAATGAGATGGACTGACACACTGGATGCAACAATGGATTCAAACTTAGCAATGATTGTGAGGATGGCACAGGACTGGGCACTGTTTTATTCTGTTGTAGATAGGGTCCCTATAAGTTGGAAAAGATTTGATGGCACCTAACAACAATGGTATGTGATTTATACTGCAATTAAAAAAGTATAGGTTGTTTCCTGTCTTCCTTTTTTTTTTTTGGTGGCATTCAGGAGACTTCCCTCTTCTAGGGCTGTGAAACAGTAGTCAAGGAGAGAAGCTTGGGAGCACTCTTCTTCTCTGTGCACCCTTCACTGTGCCACCTCTCACTCCATCTCCTATTGCTGCAGATATCTCAGGCAGTAGAAATTGTAGTTTGGAATTCTGCACTCATTCTCCTCAGCCCCAGTTTTGCAAATGATGTTCAGAAATGAAAAATGCCTATAGAGGTAAGCAGCATGCAGGTGGAACACAGAAGTGAGCCCAAAAGATTAGAAAGTAAAGACAAATTGCTATATGGAAACGCAAAGAAAATGGAGCAGGCATGAGAACAGAGGCAGACTGAAGAATCAAACTCTCCTCACTAAAGAAGCCTTAGGGGGCAATGCAACCAGGCATATCTACACAAGGGTCCATTCTCATTTTTCAAGTTACAGTTAATTATCTTATAGCCCTGCTACCTCTCTGCCTCAATTTAAGAGACGCTGTCAGCAACTGTAAACTTTATTCCCTGCTCATACTCTCCCAGCTCGGTAAGAGGTTTGTCTCAGGGCAGCCTCCTGAGATACTCTTCTGTGAGGAGCAATCTACTATCATAGAGTAGATAGGAAATTAAAAGAAAATGAAAGGTGCAAATGAATGCTGTTTCATGGATTTTAGAAGGGTATGATATAATCGTGGCAATATACTGCTTATTTTATTTAAATGCACATGGCTCACAAAAGCACAACGTTTTCTTTGTCAATAGCAGTAAAACGATGAAAAACTTTATTTTTAAAGCTTTTTACAGTCAAATTTTGGTGAGCCAGAGAGACATCCTTAGATGAGTTGTTTTAAAGAATATAAGATGGTCATAAGCAAGCCTCCAAATCTTTCCAAGATACCTATGAAAAAGTCACTGAAGATCTTCTGAATTCCATGATCCTAAAGGTTTCAAATTTACTGATTTGTTACAATGAAATAAGGCAATTCTTGTGATTTTGTTGACTAAGACACCAAATCACGGCGAATGAAAGTTTATGTGGTTGGTCACTATTACCATTTACTTACTTGATACGGTGTAGTTAGTAGAAAGTGCTACGCTATAAGAACTAACGTTAGTGTATTATAATGGAAAGCACAGATTTTTAAAAATACATAATTGGTTTATATCTCATTTCTGGCTAAGTACTTTGGGTATATTTTGATCCATAGTATCTTTTAACATGAGTTAAAAAATTCAAAGTAATTTAAAATATTTATAATCTTAAGTAAAATGAAAAATAAGGTTAGAAAAACAAATTTCAACCTTAACAGTGACTTCATTACCTTTATGTCCTTTATTTTCTGTTTTTCAAAGTTGTCAATAGTTTCCTCCAGATGACGAGTTGTTCGGGTAGCATCCATCGTAGCTCTCTGTAATTCAGTTTCTGCCTACAAGAGTATTCCCCAATCAAAGATATAAAAAAATCAAATCAGAAGCCATTCAACTGAGTCTATGAGGAAATGCTACCATTGCAGCACTGGCTTTCTGGCATAAGACCATGGTTGTTTAGTATTATATTTTACCACATATGACAAAAGGACCTATGTAATAAGCACATGCAGAATAAAGAACTTTAAATAGATTTATTAAGTGACATGATTTGTGATCTCAAAAACAAAACCAAACAACAAAAACTTCCCTGTCTTTCTACAAAGCCATTTTTCCCTACATCACCCTTGATTTTTTACATTTTCTAAATGTTTTCACCGATGCCACTGCCTGTGCCACTTATCTACCATCCTTTTTCTTCTTACTTTCTCTTTCTCCTTTAACTCATTCTCCCCAGGAAAGAAAGAAGGGACTTGATGACTTACTAGCAAGTATTTTTAACTCTCTCAAACTTTGTCTCCTAATCAGTAAAATATACTAATGCTTACTTCACAGGATTGCTGAACAGATTAAATGAAATGATCTTTGTAAAGCACTAAGAAGAGTGCTCTGGACATAGAAACACCAATAACTATGACAATTTCCACAACTGAGGGTCTATGATTTTTATACCATTACAACATTGAGGCATTTTGGGCTAGCAAGTCTATAACTAAAGTCTCCTATTGTTACCACCTCACTTATTTTACTAGCTCTCCAAATACATTAAATATTTCTAATTCTGTAATATCCCAATCAGGTAAAGAATATAGATACACTACACCTTTTTATTACTTCAACATGGAATTTTTAACTGCAAGTTTTTCTTACAAGCTAACAATACTGCACTCTCTCAATTTAATTAATGCTTATTACAAAAAATACACCCTAGTAACGAATAAATTAGATGGCAAGTCCAGTGCTTTGCTTCATACACTCCAATGACAAGCACTCATACTATCTAGATCTGTGCTGTACAATATTTTACCTACTAGCTACATGGGGATATTTACATTTAAATGAAATAAAATTTAAAAAATTTTCTCAGTTACTCTAGCTGCATTTCAAGAGCTCAACAGCCACTTGCAGCTAGTGGCCACAGTATTGTAAAGGGCAGAACACTTCCAATCTAATCATGGATTTCTTTTAAAAAACTGTCTCTTCCTTTAGGGCAACTGTTGCCCAAAAACATCTAAACCTGTTTGTTAAACAGATGTTAAAAAACATATTCTAACTCTCTGATTAAACTCTTCTTAAAAAAGTTTTGTTTCCTATACTTTTATTAAAAATATCATAAATCATCATTTAATATTTAATCTGGGGAAAATTACATTTGTTATCAGTTTTGTGACATCTAAGATTCTAATATTCTGACAACTAGCCCTTGCTTTTCAAGAAAATATATAAATGGAAACAAGTAAAAGGGATTTACTATAAGGATCCATCTCTTGGCACTCCACTTTATTACCCACCTGTGACTGAAATTTTTCATAAAGGAAAAAATACATTTCAAAAGAATACAACAGTTCTTTCAACAAGTTAAAATCGTTTAGTCTTCTATAATTATACACTCTTACAATTAGGTTATATTTTGTTTAGAACTCTATTAACTATATATTTTTGCAAGTAGGTTAATTCAAATACACACAACACTAAGCATTTAAATATATTCATTTATACCTCTAAAAAGCTGTTAAAATGTATGTAGCTATTTGTTACGTAGGGTGTAAAGTTTTTTAAAACAATGCAAGCTTCAAATTGTAACCAGTAATCAAAAACAATGTTCTACATTATTGGGCTTGGGAGTCTTTGAAATCCCAAAGAATTAACCTCATTACAGGAAATTCAAAAGTAAAAGAGAGGTTTTCAGAACATTTATCAATATGAAAAAATTCCTAACAGTTATTTGATGCATGTTAACCTTTTGCTAATGAGAATATTCAAGTCAACTAATTTCCTAATACTGATTATCACACATAAGTGATGCAATTCTTTCTAACTAATTCTTTTGACTCGTGTCTCTCCCTTCCCCATTTCTTGATACTTTCATTGTAAATTTTGGAAGGATAAGTAGAGTTGGTGAAACTAGGAAAAGAGCGGGGAAGTAGAAGCAATAGCTGGGACATCTGTACTTTAATCTTCTACCACTCGTCAGCAACTAGTATTCATTTCTGAAAGTCTCAAATCTATTTACTAGAGCACAGCAACTCACCCAAAGTTATATAGCTCTTTTTAGCAAAGTAAAGAGAATACAGGTATCTAATTTTCTTCCTTTCCTTGACATATCTTTAAAATCCTAAAGGATAACAATGAGAGCAGGAAATGCTTCTGATTAAAATACTAAGAACGAGAATATCAGTATATTTAATGAAATTAGTCGAGTGCAAAATGATTTATAAAGGGATGGGCCAGACTGCTGTTCTTCAAACTGTGTTACAGGAAGCTTGTTCAGAACCCAGCTGGGGCCTTGAGGGGTGAGCAGGGAGAGCCCAATGACTCTTCTTTACCCCATCCTCTTCTACTAGAACAACTCCATTTTATTTTACATACTGAACATTCGTATGCTACGTTTGAACAGAGTTAGAAGATTTTAAGGGTCTACCCCTGGTGGTAAGAGCTCAGCTGCTAACCAAAGTCCAGCAGTTTGAATCCACCAGCTGCTCCTTGGAAACCCTATGGTGCAATTCTACTCTGTCCTATGGGGTCGCTATGAGTCGGAATCAACTCGATGGTAATAGGTGTCCTGGTAAAAATTCAGTGGTGCAATGATTAAGTATATTTATACTGAATACACTTATACGCAAATTGCCCTTTATTTTCTAGTCTCAGGTTGTCAAAATAGACTGGAGTCTACTGCATGTATGCAGCAATAATCTACGTAGTTGTTGCATTTATTTTCCCCCCATTTGAACCCACAGACTTGATTCATCCATATTCAGGCCACCTTCTCCACAGCAGTATTTAGAGAAAAGCACCTAAGTTAGAAAAATCTTTGTCTTAGACTAGATTCATTTCCACATTGAGTGCTGATACCAATACCCCTGATTCAATCTTGCCAACTCTTCAGGATTCCAGATATTTCATTTTCCCTGCCTTCATACTCCCTCTCTGCCAAAAAACAAAATTTTTTTTTATCTCTGGCTTAATTCTTAAACACTGGTAACTTCTCCTGACCTCTGCCTTGATCTAGTTGTCAGTCAGGCATTTTCTAGCACTGTCTGGTTTGACTTTTACAAAACACAGACTCTCTATATGTAGTTTGAAGATCTTAAGCCTCAAATTCCATCTAGATCTTCCTATCCCAGCCTCCAATGGATAGTCCCAGCCCTATGGCTGCTCACTTTTGTTTAGTGCAAGGTTGGGCTTAAGTACCTTTGGTCCAAAGGAAGAAGGACCAGGCAACTGGTGCACCCCATATCACTGCTCAAGGGACTCCCCTCGAGAATGGAGGTGTTCTGGAACCTCAAGTGCCCCCAAAGAGCCACTCCTCATGTGGTTCCTGGCTGAGCTGGGCAGTGACAACCTTTAAGGAAGTAGGAAGGAGACACATATAAGAAGGAACGGCAAAAAGAGGCAGCAGGGATAAGTTAGTGCTTTCTGTACAGTCCCACCTACCCCAGTTGCTGGCAACTAGCTAGGCACTATTTGCTATTCTTTTCTTTAGTTTCAGGCACATTCTAGTTTAAGAAATAGTCATGTTTCACAGAAGAACCTTCTTACAGTAGTCACTCCCATCTAGATCCCTTTGTGTCCAGCTGAGGACCTCAATTACACTCTTAAATCTCCTGAGGGTCTTTTGCTGAAAGTCATAAATGTGGTTTCAAATAGTCTGTTTTTTTTTAAAGAATGAAAGGAGTTACAGGAAATTTTTTCCTTCCTTTTCTCAAAAGTGAGGCAGAGACAGTATTGTTATATTAAGCTTAATGAGAGACTTTTAAGTTAATTTTATAACTAATATTTAGTCATCACCACTATGTGGAAAAAAGCTCAGAATTCTAAATTTACTCTTTATAAAACATCTGCATTTATGAGTTTTTTTTTTTCCCCCTTTGAAGGGGACGTCTATTGTGGGAAATAATACAAGGGGACTGAATCTTTAAAATTAGCTAATTGCTATAGTGAGAATTCCTAAATGCATGTGTTTCTTTTTAACCTTTATATTCAAATTCTCCACATATTTAAAAACAGAAATGCATAATTTCCATACTTACTGACTTTTGTACGGCATACCTTACAAAACATTTTTTAAAGACCAAAATTCAAAGGATACAATAACATGTCGATCAGACGGGTTTCTCTGACGTGTCCTTTCTAACTGGGTTAACTGCTTAGCTTCTCGATTCCTTGCTGTTAATGTCGCTTTGAGGTCATCCTGCAGATATGCATTTTTTGTTAATATAAATTTCAGATTTAAGAAATAAAGTACACACGCTCTGTTTCAAGAACAGGGAGAGCTGCTTGTTTGATCCAGGTGCCACTACTACAGGAATTATGAGTCCTGCATGATAAATGTGCATTTACGCATGCATACATTTGTGTCTCTTTAATGTTTTTTAAATGACACAGACAAAAAAGATAATTTCAATGCAAAATTATAACCATAAATATACAAATAAAAACACACATACACAATATTGATTGTGGTTGCATGGGTACACACATTAGTCAACTCAGTAAACAGTTAAAATGTGAGAATTTTATGGCATGTAAATTATACCCCAATAAAGCTGATTTAAAAAACAGAACTCTGTTACACTCCTTTTTAAAGTCTAAATGTTATCATCAATTTAAAACAAAAAATAAGCTTACATTAATATAGTAAAATAATTTCTGTCCATATATGCTTCAAGACTACAAATACTAAATATCTTAGAGTTTCCATAATAAACAAAACAATGTCTTATGTTGCGACAGTAGTATACAGGCAGTCCCCGGGTTGCAAATGTCTGACTTACTGACAACTCATATCTGCCCTTCAGTGTTATGTAAATTTGCCCTCACTCTGAAAGGACTTAACCAACTGAGAACAAATTCTTCATCACAATCACCTTCACTTGCTGCAACTGCAGCTTTTAAATCACTGAAAAGACTTTAAGCCTTTTCTTGCACTAAGCAAAACCAAACCAAACCCACTGCCATGGAGTTGAACTGCTCAATAAGGTTTCTAAGGCTGTAAATCTTTATGGAAGCATGCTGCCACATCTTTCTCCTAAGGAGTGGCTGGTGAGTTTGAACCGCTGGCCTTCTGGTTAGCAGCCGAGTGCTTTAACCACTGTACTACCAGGGCTCCTTTCTTGCACTAAAACCCAAAAAACCAAACCCACTGCCAGTGAGTCAATTCCAACTCATACCGCCTGTAAGACAGAGCAGAAGACAGAGCAGAACTGCCCCACAGGGTTTCCAAGGAGCACCTGGTGGATTCGAACTGCCGACCTTTTGGTTAGCAGCAGAACTCTTAACCACTACACCACCCAGGTTTCCTGCTTGCACTAAAGTAAGGCTAAATAAGAACTGTATGCACCTGTTCCAATTTACCTACAAATCCGACTTGAAGACTTAAAGACACAGTTAGGAACGGATCTCGTTCATCATCCAGGGACTGCCTGTACTTAGTAAACTCACTAAAAAATATTTCATTATTGTCAAAGTTCTAAGAAATGATTATTCAGAGTGTGTAAACAGAATGACTAAACACTGCTTTGTACTTTTTATTAAAAGGACAATTATTAGAAACCTCATCCTCTTTCTCAGAATACTTAATAACAGGAGAAAAAATACATTTACTTACCCGCTTCATTTTTACAATGGTTCCATAAGCTTTCAAAGGTTCAACTACTTTGGCTTCAAGTCTTTCAACCTATTGAAAATTATTATAAAATATAACTGAAAAGAAACATAAACATATCAAAATTTAAATTGTGAAATAAAACTTGTAATGTTTAACCTGACCATAATTACTACAGATATAAATATTTTAAAAAATTTTAAGTTAAAATGCTACTGTTTATCTTTATAAATAAAAGGGTTATCACCAGAAGTGGATAAGACTAAAATTCTAAACTCAAACACATTAAAAACGGTCAATCTGTACAGTAACAGTGAAAGCACAAAAGTACCTGGTATGCAATATGACCAGAGAATGTTCCAGTTTTCGAGGAGCTCATCCCTGCCAAACCATCATCTCTGTATGACTTTTCGACCTTAAAGTAGCAGCTTTGGGGGCAAGTTTTAAGACATCCCAAATTTTAATACAGCTACCATTTTCAATGTGTTAGCACAGTGTTGGACACTTCATATATACTCTTTCTGAAACGTAATAGCCCACTTTCCAGATAAGAAAACTGAAGCTGAAAGATACAGCATATTGGAAATATTTAAAGCTGCTCAAAAGCCAAAAAGCCTAGGAAACACAGTTATTAGCTGCAATTTTTCTGACAAGTCATTTGTGAATTAGCAAAGCCTAGGGAATAAGATAAATGGTCTCTCTTGCTGAGCTGTCAGACTGTACGGCTGATCTCTGTTCCTCCCCTAGCACACACAGATTCCCTTTTTTACTCAGAATTAAAACAGTTTTTCTTAAACATTACAGTTTTTATCAAATTTTGAGTAGTTATTTCTCTTACTAATACCCCTAGTGGAAGGCATTGAAGAAACAGATTAAAAAAAAAAAAGTATGTAGCATAAAAGAAGTTTATCATGTGAGAAAAATAACTCTCCGGACATTAAATATTTTTCTCTGAGATGATACAAGATGACACACAATTGTTTAACATGAACATGCATTATTTTTACAAGAAAAAGGCCTTTTTTTGGATGATACATGCTTATATAATCAGTGAATACATTCCATACTGATTTTTCTTTAGTTCCTATAAACAAAATGTATAGAATGTTTCATTTTCAAAGATTTTAGGAAAATTAAAAAAATCAAGTCCCCACCAAGCATTTAAATATTAGGAATCCTAGAATCAAAACCATAAGTATTCAGGATAGTTTAGTCTATATCATTCCTAATAATCCATAGACTGATTATTCAGTGCAAGGATTATCTGTTCTGTTCTCCTTTTTTGTTGCCTACCTTTTGATCATTTCATTGTTCATTAGCAACTCCACCATTTTGTAAGCAAGGGAAATAAAAGGAGAACAAATGTAAATCAGTTCACTTTGCTATTTGATAAATAGCACCAAGGTTTTCTACAAAAGGGAGCTGAAATTATTGGCTAAAATGGGATGTTAGGACCATCGGAATATAAATTATTTTTGAAATAGTAAGTCCCCAGTTATCATATATAACTAAGAGTGGCTTGTTTATTATAGAAGACATGTCATTTGACAAGAACTCAACATTTTCCCAAAAAGTACCCCCAAATGTAATTAATTCTCAAATTTCTGAGTTCCTCTAGTTCCTAGTCTAGTTCTGTATGGATAGCAATTGTAGGTTCAAAGATTAATATTCTAATTTTACTTATTTTTGATAACTGAAGTTTGTTTTCGGTTTTAAAAAAGGACAAAAACATCAATAAAAAAGTACAAAAAAAAAAAAAAAAGCAAAGCAGCTGTAACTGGGCAACTTCTGACAAGTTAATCTGTGCCTTGAAAACTAAATAAATATAACAAAATTCTTATGATGTATTAAAGGAAAATAAAAGGCTTTTAGAAAGAAAACAATTACACCACCACCTTCTACTCTCCACCACCCTCTGCCCACTAAAAAAAAAAGGAAAAACAAAAAAACCCCACAAATAAGGTCTCACTAACTACTGGGTGGTACAAATGGTTAACAGAAAAGGTTAATGAGAAAGGCTGGAGGTTTCAGTCCATGCAGAGGCACCTCAGAAGAAAGGCCTGGCCATCTACTTACAAAAAAAGCAGACACTGGAAACCCTATGGAGCACAGTTCTATTCCGACACACACGGGGTCGACATGAGTATGGGTCAACGTAAGCCTGAGTCTACTAGTTCGCAAGTGGTTAACTACTGGTTTGCATCAGTGCTATTTTTTTTTTTTTTCTTTCTTTTTTTGGTCAATGAAACATCTGACAAACTCCGGAGCATGGAAGCATCTTGCCTATTTTATTATTTATTCACATACCATTCCGAACATCTTGAATCTCCAGGCACACTTTAAAATACACTTACATGCACACGAGACACATTCATGCTTCTTTTCTTCCCCATGGATACTAAGCTTACTATCCCCTGTAAATGGCCACCCCTTGGCCAAAAACTGGAAACTGTGGTGGCACAGTGGTTAAGAGCTACAGCTGCTAACCAAAAGACCAGCAGTTCAAATCCACCAGGCACTCCTTCGAAACTCTATGGGGCAGTTCTACCCTATCCTTTAGGGTCACTATGAGTCGAAATTGACTCCACGGCAATGGGTTTGTTTTTTTTTCTTTTTTTGGGTTTTGGCCAAAAACTGGCAAAGGAAGTCGGGAAACCGAAGACTTCAAGGACTCTTAACATTTGGTTTGAAAATGGTAAAAATAAATTCCAGAAAGTCTCCTCAATAGACTCACACAGTGTTACGGACATGAAAATCTGTATGTTTATTCTCAACTGTGTGTTCACCACTGCAGTTAGGTAGATAACACGTGCAAGTCTTCATGGCTCCTTCATCCACTACTTCACGGCTCATTCATAACAATGACGCTGTGACCTCACTCCATACCTCTGCTTGTCGATAATCCTGAAGTTTGGCGAACTCATCAGCAAAGTTTTTCAGGCCCTGCTTTAAATTTGGGGTCTCTGTAGAGGCATACATGTTGATTTCATTCACCAGGAGGTCTGCTTTGTCTCGCAGTCTGGCAGTTTTCCGCACATAAGCAGCAAAGATTTGGCACAGCTCTCCAAAATGCTTCTCCACATTTGTGACAGCATCTTGCAGTTGTCTGGTTTGAGCGTCCCTAGAAAAAAAGGTGATACAAAAAGCAAAACATTCTTGTTAGAAACGAGATAGCTTCATCGTTATGTTAATTTAATATGCAACCATTCCCAGGCATTTTGCAGCTTTGAAGACGCAAAACCATCAACAATCCAACCATCTCTCGGGGCGGATTCTCACCGTAATTTCGCGGATAACTGTCCCTTCCCCTCATCCAGGACCCCATTCCCAGCCTGGCCTCAAAATCCCGACGGGGTAGGTCCAAAAAGAGGCCGGGCCCAGGCGAGCCGCGCAGCTGCAGGGTGCGGGCTGCGGTGGCTGCTCCGCGTTACGCGGCCTGGGCGCCCAGCGAAGCGTGGGCAGCCAGCTGTCTCCCAGGTTTCCGCACGGTCCGCGGCAGTGCCGGGACCAGAGCCTGGAGAGCGTGGGTGGGTGGCAGCCGGCCCACCCCCGGGCTCCCTTCGGTCGCCGGGGCTCCTGCCAGCCTGGGAAGGTAGGCCCCAGGGAGCAAAGGGTGGGTCCAGCCTCCCGCCTGGGCCGGAATTCGGCGCGGAGTCTCCTGGAGAGAGGCTCCACGTCCCCTACCCGAGCCCTCGCGTGTGGGGACGCTGGGCAGCGGGGCCCCGGGGCTGTTACCGGTTTTCCAAGCTGCGCCTTAACATCTTGCCTCGCGCACAGGAGAGGACCCTGAGCGGGGACCCAACGACGCGGTGCTGAGGCGCCCGGGCGCTCGCTGGGGCGCGAGCAGCCGCCGACGTCGCCGGGAGCTGGAGAGCCCGCCCTGCGCGCTGCCGAGCAGACCCGGGCGTTTCTATGGAAACGCAGCGCGCGTCCCCGCGGCCGCGGCAGCCTGCTGCCCCTGCAGTCAAAGCTGCAGTCACCTGGAGCCACCCCCGCGCATTCTTCCCCGCGGAGTTTATCGCACACTGAGCGAAAGCCGGTGCCCGCAGGACCTTTCGTCCTCTTTCAGAACGCGTTTACGGAACACCCAATCCAAGTCCTTCCAGACTAGGAAGGAGAAGAGAGACTATTAACCAATCACCCCCTGCCGTCGAGTCGATTCCGACTCATAGAGACACAATAGCCAGGAGGAAAATGTAAAACGAAAAGCAAATAGGGTCCAGTCTGTGCTAACGCGACATTTAGTCTTTTATAAACATACGTCAAATTGCCTGCTTCTCTGTTAAATCTGAAAATGTGGGCTCTTGGAGGTTGCCTTTGAAAGGAGCAGCGCTTACAGCTTCGTGCTTAAGTTTGCATTTGTTCTACAAGTATCTGTTAAACAAATTCCTACTTTGTGGAACAGATTGTGTTAGACACTGGTGATAATACAAAGATAAAAAGAAGGTATTCCTACCCTGAAGGGCCTTAGAGTGTAATGAGGAGTTGTTAGCTGTTGTGGAGTCGGCTGTAACTCATGGTAACCCCATGTACAACAGAACCAGATGTTGCTGGTCCTGAGCCGTCTTCACAATCTTTGGTATGCTGAAGTCTATTGTAATGGCCACTGTGTATTTTGAGTGCCTTCCAACCTACGGGGCTCATCTTCCAGCACTATATCGGATAATAGTCTGTTGTGATCCATAGGGTTTTCACTGGCTAATCTTCACAAGTAGACCGCCAGCCAGTCCTTTCTTCCTAGTCCATCTTAGTCTGGAAGCTCCTCTGAAACCTGTTCCGGATCATAGCAACATGAAAGCCTCCACTGACAGGCAGACTATGGCTGTGCCCTAGGTGAACTGACCAGGAATCGAACTTGGGTCTCCTGCGTGGAAGGTGAGAATTCCACCACTGAACCACCCCTCAGGTAAATAAGCAATAGGAGACATTTCTTTCTCCTTTGAACACCTATGTCGTTTTAGCCCTCTTGGCTTTTGTTTGTGCTGCTCTTCCAGGTAAACACCTATTTACCTTTAGGACTAAATTCAAGTTTTAAGCATCTCAAGAAAACCTCCTAGGCTCCTCCCAACCTTCTTTGATCAAGGCAGCCTTAGGGGCCCCTTCCTCTCTACTACGTTAGTTTTGTACTGTCTGTCTCTTGTGCACTAGACTTTTTTTTTTAAATTTTTTTTATTGTTGTACTTTAAGTGAAAGTTTACAATTCAAGTTAGTCTCTCATACAAAAATGTATACATACATTGTTATGTGACCCTAATTGCTCTCCCTATACAGTGACAACACACTCCTCCTTTCCACCCCTGATTTCCCGTGTCCATTCAACCAGCTCCATTCAACCAGCTCCTGACCCTCTCTGCCTTCTCATCTCACATCCGGACAGAAGCTGCCCGTTTAGTCTCGTCTATCTACTTGAATTAAGAAGCACACTCTTCGTGAGTATCATTTTATGTCCCACTAGTCCAGTTTGATCTTTGTCTGAAGAGTTGGCCTCAGGAATGGTGTTAGTTCTGGGTTGACAGACAGTCCAGGGCCATGCTTTCTGGGGATCCGCTAGTCTCAGTCAGACCATTAAGTCTGGTCTTTTTACTAGAATTTGAATTCTGCACCCCACTTTTCTCATGCTCCCAGGGACTCTCTGTTGTGTTCCCTGTCAGGGTGGTCGTTGGTGGCAGCCGGGCACCATCTAGTTCTTCTGGTCTCAGGCTGATGCAGTCTCTGGTTTATGTGGCCCTTTCTCTCTCTAGGACTAATACTTTCCTTGTGACTTTGGTGTTCTTCATTCTCCTTTACTCCAGGTGAGTTGGGGCCAATTGATGCATCTTATAGGGCTGCTCACTAGCTTTTAAGACCCCAAACGTCACTCACCAAAGTAGGATGTAGAACATTTTCTTAATAAACTTTGTTATACCAGTTGACCTAGCTGTCCCCTGAAAGCATGGTCCCCAGACTCCCGCCCCTGCTACTCTGTCCCTCAAAGTGTTTGATTGTATTCAGGAAATGTCTTAGCTTTTGTTTAGTCCAGTTGTCTCATGCACTAGACTTCGAGCTCTTGTAGGCAGAGAAAATGTGGCCTTGGTTTTCTACTCCTCAGGGCCTAGTGCTGTTCAATAAAAGTTTTGTTTTTTTTTTAAACAAACTGATGCACCCATCCTTCGTTACCTCTCTTATGGAACTTTCCTCATTCTCTCATGTTACAACGTGTTTAACTGTCTGCTCCCATTGCCTTGTATGTCCCAGGTGTTAAAATTAAATAACTCCCCAAAAGAATGGACAATGCTCCAAGACTTCTAGGCATGTTATCATTAAATATACCCTTGCCAATCAACCTCATTAATCTCCCAAGAGTGCCCCCTTTTTGTTTTCCCAAAGACCTTGCTCACTTTGAAATACCAGATAGTAGATATTTAGCCTAAAATTTTCTTTTTTCCAGGACCTGTATACCTAAGACTTTGTGTATTCCATATGACTTGTTTTTCTGCACTGCTGTATAACCTTCAAAGGACCACCTGTACGTTCTTTCTTTCCTCACAAGGTTGTAAATGGCATATAAACAAAAAACCACTTCATGATAGCTGCAGCAGTTTCTCTCAAATGACTGCCTGTTTGCAAATGTCTCTCTCAGTAAATAGTTGATCTCCTTAATTGTTAGTCTTAGTTATTTTAGCACAGGCATTTTGCTGGGCCCTGAGTATACATTGGTGATAAGCAAAAAGCAGATAAGTATTTGCCCTTATAGAGCTCACAGTTTCCTCGGGGTAGAGGGGAGACACTAATAAAATAGCTACACGTTACATTGCAGCTGAGGTATGTTCTATCAGCTTTGGCTTGTAACAAATTACTGCAACATTTAGTGGCTTAGAAAAAATCCTTTAGGTAGGGGGAAACCATTCTAATTTTCCGGGAATCCAGAGTTATGCTTCCATGGAGTTGGGGTGACCCACCCAGGACATTTATCGTTGGGTGTCCTTTTGAACCTTTAGCCTTGGAGAAACTGGTTCTTGGAGGTGGCTTTTGAGTCAAACAATGATCTAGATAAACCAAACCAAAACACACACACACACACACACACACACACACACACACAAATCTGTTGCTGTTGAGTCAATCCGACTCATAGCGACCCTATAGAACAGGATAGAACTGCCCTATAGGGTTTCAAAGGCTGTAATCTTTATGAAAGCAGACTGCCACACCTTTCTCCCATGGAGTGGCTGGTGGGTTCAAACCGCTGACCTTTAGGTTAGCAGCTGAGTGCTTAACCACTACACCACCAGGGGTCCTTACTAGATAAACTAGTAACTCCATTTTGCCTTGGGCATTGTGCTCTTTTGAAGAATTCAGTCAGTTTTGGGAAACTGACTCCAAAGATCAGACTGGGAGCTATGTTTAGGGTAAATTGATAAATATTTTAATTGTTCTTCAAGACAATGCTGTATGAAAATCCTTCCTGACCATAAATTTGTTTATCAGTTCTGTTCTGACCCTTTTTTCCATGGCAATGCCAATATAATTAGGTATAAGAGTGTTTTGAAGTTCTCTCATGTTTGGAATATTTTTGACTCTCTAGTCTAAATGTTACCCAGATTTGCAAATCGTATATTAAATAAACTTCAATCAATTTCTATTATTGGCCTAATACGATTTTTGTTTTAATACTAGCTTAGGATTCCAAGTCAGCTGGGTGTCTCTTGTACTTTGACTCTGTTCAGCTGGGCTTTCTCATGCCTTCCTGATCAGCTGGCCAGGATGGCCTCATTCATATGTCTGGGAGTTGAGCCAACAGGACAGGGGTTAACAGGTTTCTCCTTCTCCCTGCAAGCTATTCAGGCTTCTTATTGTTGCAAGGGCTTCAAAACAATGGGAGAGGACAAGCCTCTCTGATCAGGTGCCTTCAAGTCTCTGCCCATGTTGCGTTTGCTGAAATCCTATTGGTCAAAGCAGGTCACATGGCCCAAAGTCAGAGTGGGAGGGCACTCAAATATTTATGGCTAGGGGGTGGTGAGGTGCAAACTGTTAAGCACTTGACCACTAGCTGAAAGGTTGGGGGTTCGAACCCACTCAGAGGCACTTTGGAAGACATGCCTGGCTATCTGCTTCTGAAAGGTCACACCCAATGGCCACTAACAACAGCAACAACAACAGGGGTGGTGAGTAGGTGGGGGGAGAATTGGTGGCCACTTTTGTGATGGAAGGCAATATGTACTCTACCACAGCTAATACGGTTTTAAAATACGTGGAACCAAGAGAGTATATACTTTCTTTCCCCTGCCACACTGGCGATTTCCATCGGCTTCACCTCTAAAACATATCCTCAGTCATTTCTTCTATATCATCGTAATCCAAACTACTGTCATCATTTACCCCTACCGCAAAAGCTTCCTTAATGAAAAGCACCCTTACTGCAAAAGCCTCACCGTGTTCACTGTTACAGACTGCAATGCAAAATCAAAAATGTAAATCAGATCATGCTAACTCTTCACAGCCTCCTAGTGTGCTTAAAATAAAATTGAAAATCCTTATCCTGACTATTAAGGCCATATCTCACTTCTGTCTACCTACCTATCTTCTCTGACTCCCCTACTGTCCTATAGCTTCACTGTCTTCTGTTCCTGCATATATCAAGCTCATTTCAGACTCAGTTTTGTGTTTATTATTCTCTGCCCCAAATGCTCCTTCCTCAGATCTTCACATACCTGGCTACTTCTTATTATATGGGATTCTGCTTAAAAGGCATCTACAGAGTGAGGCTTTCCCTGATTATCTAGATATTATTACAGTACCTTGTGTTTCCGTTGGAGCACATAATGCTCTCTGAAATTAACCTATTTTTTTCTATGCTATTTCTATCTCCCATGACTAGAATATATTCTCCTTAAAAATATTTTTTTCATCATTTTATGTCCCATACA